TTAGAAAACAAATTTCAAAATTTACAGTTCCAAAATTACAGTTATTTGTACTGTCATTTAAAGTTTTATCCAGTATTAACCCTAGGAGTTTTCAGCAATACTAATATTTAAAAACTTTTTAAGTTTAATTTAATTTTATCTTGGTTTTATGTTCTTCAATAAATTTATTGATGTATTTTTTGTTATGTCCACTTTTATCTCTTCTTTAAGACTTTTGTGTTTATTTTGTTTTGATAAGAACTCCAAGAAATTCCTTAGAATTCTCTACAGATTTCTTGTTGGCTTCTTAATTTGGTAATTGTTCAGACCATAAGATGTTATTACATCCTCTGTTCGATTGTGAGTTCAAAGACAAAGAATTGGCCAAAAAAAGAAAAAAAGAAATACTTCCTACAGACCTTAAAACATGTTTTAAAGTTACATTTCCGTTCATCTAATACATAATATCTTCTTAGCCGTTAACATAATTCCTTTGGATAAAGATAATATATTCAAAAATATTGGGACCAAAAAATGCACTTGTTTCTTACATATGTATGTATATATATGTGTGTGTGTGTGTGTGTGTGTGTGTATATATGTATGTATGTATGTATGTATATGTATATGTATGTATATATCTTTTAATTTGGTGTTCGTTTATTTTGGTTACATTGAATATAGATTTGCTGAACAGTTTTGATGTTATTATTTTTTTTAATAAAATTTGTATTGTTAAAGTGCCTCAGGAATTATTTTCTAACAAATAACTTCATATAAAATCTGTAGATTTTATCATACAACTAGGAGCATTGCTTTGCCTCTTACATGGAAGCCAGATTACTTGGCCTGCAGACTGAGAACTTTATCTACTGAGTACATCTTGCACTTTTTCTTCCAGCACAGTTAAATGCTCACTATTCATACTTTACTAATTTCTTGAACTTTAAAGGGTGGCAAGAGTCCCTTTGTGATCTTAATAACCAGGAAGGTGAGCAAGCTCTGAAGTTATTTGATTCAATCATGAGTGGTTTTTTTTTTCCTCTTAACATCAGCATTTCTTGAATTGTATTTGAAACTGCCTTAGTCCATTTGGGCTGCTATAATAGAATACCATAGACTGGGTGGCTTATAAATAATAGAAATTTATTTCTCACAGTTCTGGAGGCTAGAAAGTCCATGATCAGGTGAACGGTAGATTCAATGTCTGGTGAGAACCTGCTTTCTGGTTCATAGATTATCATCTTCTTGCTGTGTCCTCACATGGTAGAGGGGCAAGAGAGTTCTCTGAGGTCTATTTTATAAGAGCACTAATTCTATTTGTGAGGGCTCCCTAAAGCCCCATGTTCAAATACCATTACAGTGGGGATTAGGTTTCAACATATGAATTGAGGGGTGATACAAATATTCAGCTTATAACAGAAATATTGAAAGCCAGATTGTGACCACTTGTTATATAGTCTACTCCTCGCAATTCATAGTCAGAAGAGTTGAATCCATTAGTTTTAATTTTCCAGACTAACTGATTTATGCTGTGAATGATTTTCAAAATCTTCTAAAGTGGCTTATTTCTTAGTAGTGGGCTTAGTGATATTCTATTGTTTATTTCCATATCTGACTCTATGATGTTCTTTTCATCCACCATCTTTCTGCCTATTTTACTTTTCAAATATTGTGGTAAAAATATATAACATAAAATTTGCCATTTTAACCATTTGCAAATGAATAATTCAGTAGCATTAACTTACACCAAATTTTAAACTTTTGCCCAGAAATAATTTCTTTTCAGCTTTAACAGGTTCTTTTTTTTATATACAGGTATTTTCTCTGCATATGTCATAGTTCATTAATATGATAAATTACATTCTTGCTATAGCAATATCTTAGGCCCTGTATTCTTCCATAGCATTCTATTTCTTACAGTATATATTAGGTTCATTTTCTTAAAGTATAATACTCTTAAAGTTCTGTGTCCTGTAGCATCATTTTATTTTTGCTTTGTTTAAATAAAACATATCAGTCAGTCAGTACTAAGCTTGCTTATTATAGGCAGTTAGTTGAGTTTTAATTGGTGCTAATGAGTTTTGGCCTGACAGTCTGATCCTTTTACCTTCAGAGATCCCATTACTGTATTCTAAATACAGTAATGCTTTTACCTGGTTTAGAAATAGCCATCTCATGCATAGTTACAGCTGAATAAGAAGTCTGATTGGCTCAGTTTCAATTCATCACCATTATTTAAAAAATAACCTCTAAACTGCAGAGACGTAGTTTCTTGCTCTTTTGGGGTCACACTTTGCCAAAACACTTCTTTAGGCCTCATTTATTTGTTCAACAAATATGAATTGAGCGCTTACTATGTGCCTGACACTATTCTAGGTGCTGGAAAAACAGACTGAAATCTCTGCCCTCGTGGAACTTACATTCAGTAGTGGAAAATAGAAAATAAGACAATTGTATAGTATGGTAGATGATGATCAATGCTATCGAGAAAAGTTAAGGGAGGATAGTGAGTAGAGCTTGAGGGTTGGAGGCTGCCATTTTAAATTTGATGGTCAGGGTAGACCTCCATGAGAAGATGACAATTGAATAAATACCTGAAGGAGATGAGGAAGTGGGCCACTTGGGTGTCTAGCAGAAGAGCCTTTCAGAGAAAGATTAGCAAATGCAGAAGCCCTGAAGGGGAAATTGAAATCCTCATATATCGCTGTTGGAAATGTAAAATGATTCAACCACTGTGGGAAACAATTTGGCAGTTCCTCAAAAACTTAGAATTATGATATGACCCAGTAATTCCACTTCTAGGTATATATCCAAAAGAATTGAAAGCAGGGACTCTCATACTTGTACATATATATGCATAGCAGCACTATTCACAGTAGCCAAAAAATGTCATCAACAAATGAAGGGATAAATGGTAGTATATTCATACAATGGAATATTATTTAGTCATAAAAAGTAATGAAGTAGTGATACATGCTACAATGTAGATGGACCTCAAAAACAATGTTAAGTGAAAAAAAATCATAAAAGGTCACATATTATATGATTTCATTTATATGTAATAGCCTGAATAGACAAATCCATAGAGACAGAAAGCAGATCGGTGGTTGCCAGGGACTGGGAGGAGGGGGGAATGGAGAGTGACTGCTTAATGGTTTTTAAGGGTTTTCTTTTCAGGGTGATGAAAATGTTTAGGAACTAGATAGAGGTGGTAGTTAGGCACATTGTGAATGTACAAATTGTCACTGAATTGTTCACTTTAACACTTAGTGAACTAAGAATTTGAAGGAAACCTCCTTAACCTGACTTAATAAAAATCTATAGCTAATGTGGTGAGAGGAAGAGAAAAGAGGGCCCTGAAGTAGGATCATGCCTGACTCAAGAAACAGCAACAAGATTGGTGGAGTTACAATAGAGTTAGGAGGGGGCAGGGGAGAGTAGTTGAAGATGGGGCCTGAAAGGTGATATGGACCATGTAGTATAGGGCCTTAAATGCAATTGTAAGGATTTGGCTTTCATCCTGGAATAGTAAGCCATTAGTGGATTTTGAATAGAATAGTATTTTATACCTCAATAAAAAAATAAAAATCCTTAAATACAGTCTTAAAAGAATCACTAGCTGCTATCTTGAAAATAAGATGCAGGGGGCCAAAGGCAAAAACAGGGAGATCAGCTAAGAGGCTATTGTAATAATCCAAATAGGAGATGATAGCAATTTAGACCACTGGAAAAGTTTGCTGTCGTCAACAAACTCAGAGAGGCTACTATGCATCTCTTCTACTGTTTTTAATCCTCCACACTGAAAAATATCCATTTACCCATGTAACTGGGATGTAGAGTTGTGTGGATAGAGTTCATCCTTGAAATAAGACAGCCTTAGGTTTAAATCCTGGATTTGTATTTAACCAGCTGGGTAGCCTCAAGTAAATAACCTAAACTTGTCAAGCCTCAACTTCCTTATCAGCAAAAGGTATGTAATGCTAATTTCCTCATAAGTTTGCTATGTGACAAAAGGTAGGCACTCAAATGCTTCTGATTTCACACTACCACTAATGTTAGCACCATTCCTGTTGCTACTTCCACTGTTAATACTGTCACTGCTGTTACTATTGCTGCTGAGAGGAGACCCTGGAAACTACACAGCAGTGGAATCTTCTCATTGACAGTCTTAGTGACAATCCATTAGCATTATGGTTATCCATAACTTTGGTTTATAGTTCCCAGGCCTTGCAATACATTCCCCCAAGATGCTGTGTGGACTACATCTTACCACACTGCTTCAATTACGTGTGTTATAATTCTCTAGTGTCGGAAATTCTGGCTTTTCCTGTCTGAAAGACTATGAAATGCCACCGCCTTGTTGAAAACTAATACAGAATCCAACCTGCTTTGGAGGGAAACATTCCTTTTGTGGTTAGAAAATCCTTTCCTTACAGGAAACTTTGTAGTAATTATTACCAGTAATTCGTTTCCAGAAATCTCAGCTACCTATCCAATACTGTTAATTTTATGAAAAAGTATAATTGTAAATACCAGCAGTAAAGTAGCTTTTCCTTTTGTAGGACTTTGAAATGATTGAAAGTACTTGCTTTACTCAGAGTTTAGGGATATTGTCATTAAGTCTTAGAATTGATCTGTTAGCCCTATCTCTTCCCCTTCTTCCATCTTCTCCAGTATATCTACCTGAACAGGTTAATTATGATATTAGAATAAAAGGAGCAATTTAAGTTGTACAAGTTTCTTTTTCTTGGTAAGATGTCAATAATAGAATGGAATATTTCTATCTAGCAAATCCAGAGCATAAGAATCCTTGAGTAAATCAGTAAATATCTAAAGTAAAAGAATACATTCAACATAACTTTATTTTTAAAACAATGACCAGGAAAAGCCTGAACGGTCTTTTGTTTTCATTTCTTAGTGCCCTTTATATCAGGGGAATTGAATAAAGTATAATACACAAACGTTTATCCATAAACTAGATTT